ATTGTGATTTTAGTATAAATAAGGAAATGAACACGGAAATCGTATTATTCGCAAACTTTTCTTACTAAATTTTGACTTTACTATTTTATTAAATATTTAAGAATATATATTTTTAATGATATCGATTTGTGTAAAATGGTTCATGACAACGGACCGAAATATTGCGATATTCGCCGGTTACAGGTTAATTTTCAAGTCTAAATAATTTTTCTTCTCGTATTATTTTAAAGAGTATAGTATATAGTTCTTGTAAATGGTCAGACGTGTGTTTACGCAGTCGTAAACGACCTACGAAAAGATGGTGGTAAGATGAACGTGTTTAGAACCCAATTCGACGATCGGATCTGTGAATACTGTATAGGTGCATGTGCAAAGGTAACAGCTTTATAACGCCCGGGAGACTTCTCACGAATGCCCTCGAATTTATCGAAGTTCGTTCCCTTTTAAACGTTTCAAAGGTTTCTGACGTTGATTAATCGTATCGAGAAATATTCTAATCCAACACGAGATCGTTCGATTTGCATGGTCACTGTAACTAAAAGTATCGATCGTCACGTTGATATTTATGGATCATAGCGATCGCTGATCAATTTGATTAACCTTTTCCTTTCGAATTGGCAAGGGACATCGCCTGGGGGCACTCGTCGCGCTCTTTGTGACTAACGCGCCGTTGGAAAAAGTCGATGGACACGCGAACGAGGTCGTCGTTCATATTTAATGTAAGCGTGTGCCAGTTTCCAGTGGCAGTCCTTCGTTTAATAATGAAAATGCGCGCATCAAGGACCTCGCATTGTTCGTTTTCCAGACTTGCGCGCCGATGATCGTTAGACCGAGGCGCTCGCATTCCCGTTTCCTTTTTCAATCCGGTCACTCACGATTGTTTCAGTTCTTTGTAACTTATTCTAGCGATTATACTCGCTGTGATTATGTCTCCTTTTGTACTAATCTACGTTTTACCTGCTTCAGAAAATCCCAGAGAAACACATTTATTCTATCGAAACTCTATTAAACTTCAAGGGGTACGTATTATTATATCCGCCAATAAAAATCAACAGGATAATCTTCGGCCTGCCTTTCGTAACTGTTGAGGTTTCTCTCGGAGAGAGAAAATAAGGGGATGAATGTAGAATAGAAATATATTTAAGTATAAGTACAAATATAAGTACAATGTATGCTAGTCCAAATCCGCGCGCTGGCAGCGTTACTTTGAAATAGACGTCGAAGCCACGGGCCTATGGGTATGTGAATTTCTTTGGTTTTACGATTGAATTGATTTTCAAATTCTAGGCAAAAGGATTTTAGTTTTTCAATTATTTCTGACTTGTGTCGTAAGTTTCCTACGTTTATATATTATATGTAAGAAGAAGAAGTATAAAGTTTCTCGCCTAATGACTCTACTTCCATAGGTCCACGTATATCTGTATAAATTATTTCGCGGGGTTTAATTGCGCGCTTAACTTTCTCGTGAAAACTCGACCCATGATGGTTCCCGTACACGCAACCTTCGCAGAAAAAGTTACTGTCATCCACAACTTTTATATTCAAATTCTTAAAAAATTTGCTAACGTGTTTGATGTTTTGGTGACTAAGCTACTCGTTCCATAACTACAGTGAGTCCGCGTTTGACTCCGTTTTATTACCAAGATTATAAACTGACGGTATAATAACTCGCATATCGATCTTATACAACTTACCGATGTCGAAACCTTTAGCGATTACTTTCCGGTTCTGTAAAAATATCCATTCTTTCACTTTCTTTAAAATGCTGAAATATTCTTCCCCTTCGCGACAAATTTAACGGAAAATAAATTTCTTTTCATACCTGGTACGTATAAAATATCGTGCATTCTACCTACTAATAATTTTTATGACGGTTTCTACCTGGATATTTCCTTTGCCGCACGCATCCATAAAAGTACCATCGCCGACCTGTATTTTTACTGTTTTGTAGAATTTTTCGAAGATACTGAACCATTCTTGTCGTTCCGTTATGTCTTCCGATGGTCCTGAGTCGATGAGTCAAATATTGTCTCTTACCGTTTGTGTCGTTAAAGTGCTTCCTAGCAGACCAACTTACCTGCGAATTTGATTTTGATTTTTGGACTGCCAATTGTCTCTGCTGTCATCTTTTTGATTGTTTCTAAAGCAATTCTTACTGGTGTGGCCTTTTTTTTGCATATAAAGCATCTAAAGCAATCTTTCTTTAGATGGCCAACCTCTTCATATTTAAAGCAGCTTGGTCCTTGCTTCCCGTATTCGCTTCTGCTTATCTGCTTTTGCTGTTCTCTTTTGTCGTTATTGTCTTTTATTACCAGTGCCACCAACGCTTGCTGATCGTCATCGTTTTTCCATCTGAACTTTTCCATTATTAGCCTGATAATGAACCTTTGTAAGGTCTTCTTCTCATCATCCACCACTGTGAAACTGGTCAAACTTCTTTGGCAATGTTGTTAAAATACGTGTAATCAGCATTTTCTCGCCAATTTCACTCCCAAGAACTTGCATCTTCCAACTTTGACAAGTTGCGAGCAGCACTTTCAAATTCTTCCCACTTAAAATCGAAGAACTATTTCTGGACTATACTTATCACGCACTTATCACGCACTTATCACGCACTTATCACGCACTGTATTCAGCTTCTTCCACATTTCATGTGCTGTTATGCAACTTAAAAGTAAATCTTAAAAATAGATCTAGCGGTTTCCATTCTACTGCGGCGACAATCAATTTTCTCGCAGTCTCATCTGCCTTTAAAAACCTTTTACGGGCAGTTTCTTTCTCCGTACTTTCGCCTGGATGACGCAGATTTCTTTCACACACGTTGGTCATGTCGTCATCTTCCTCCAAAAGTATACGCATAACAAAGCGCCACTGTTCTTGCCCCAGTTTTCTTTGCCACGCAGCTTCTCGATCTTCACACTCGCTGATTCCATTTTTGTTTTATTTTTTTTCACACAACACTCTTACTCACTTTACTTTGCACAATACTTTGCCACTTTACTCACTTCGCGTTTCTACTACATAATTCACAGCTCTGGGCACATAACCCGTCAAGGTTTATCTCGGAATAGAGAGAGGAAATGCGTGGATGAATGTATAATAGAAATATATTTAAGTAAGTACAAGCACAATCTATACTAGTCCAGATTCGCACGCTGGCAGCGTCACTTTACAATTGAGCTCCGAAGCCATGGACTTATGGGTGTTTTCATAATTAGGAAGACTGACCTGTCTATGCCCCACTACACCTTCTGCGCAAGACTTGTTCCTAGAAAAGGCCGTAAGACCCTTCGAGTTGATTTAGAGCTAAACAATATTGGCTTCGAGAACTAAGAAAACTAAACACTAGAGAAGATGTAGAGTTTTCCTAAAAGTGAGAATCACTTCAACAGTAACCTGTGTTAATAGCTACATGGTTTTATTAACAATCACAATGACTACAACAAGTATTAACACACCATTGTATTCGCAACAGTATCTATACGTTACATTAATTGATCATGTAGAAGCATATTAATTTTCGTATCATTCGTTAGTACTTTCGTGCGACTACAAATATTTAAACAACATTTTTTTACGACAAAAGACTGCTTTATATTGGAAAATAAGGGAATATGCCGAAACTTTTTCTAGCATATACCGATTTCCGAACGTTCTATCGAAATTCTAAATGTCTTAAACTTCAAAGAGTGTAAGCTGTTATATTCACGAATCGTCGCAGAATTCGATGATGTTTCATATCAAGATACTTCGGTATCCCGAAGAAATTCAAGAAACACAAAAATCAGCAGGATACTCTTCACCCTATTGCTTCGATATGTCATCGTTAGAGCCTGCGTTATTTTCGAAGCCGTGGGTCGCGTAGATCCGACCGTATTTGCGCTGGGTTATCCGGCGGGCGTCGCCGTATTGAAATGTCGCGTGTGTTGAGGAACGAAACGGTAGCAGAGGAAAGGTGGGATTATCTGAATACAGTCGTTTTCGGGGGTGAGTTGCGAGTCTCTGGGGGGTAGTAGGTGGCCGGCCAAGGCCTCTCCGGAACTATCCTTGCCTCCCTCGTGATCTATAGCGGTCATCTACACTGCGAATTACCACCATCTTCTTTCCACTGATCCTCTATATACGACTTAGAATAGATTATTTGAATATCGATCGATGGTTCGCCCTATTTCTAGGTATAGCTAGAGGGGACAGTCGTCTGACCATGTGTTGCCATGATTGGCCGTGTTTTAGCATAATTCGACTGATTGATAACAGCTCCATTCCCGATGCTATGTCTGGGATCGTATTTACGCGCTCCCCGATTTAATCAGCCCCGATGTGGGGGTACTGAGCGGATCTATGTCGAAATTATAGGGGTTAGAGAAGACGAACTCGTGCGTCAAGAAGATTCGAAGAAATTCTGGTGAGATCCAGTGGCTGATTAACGAACTGACGTTCTTCGAGTCTCGTGAACCAGATGACGTTTGGCAAGACATGCAGCTAAGTTTTGAATAAAATTTGGGTAACTGAATTCCTCAAACAAACTATGAATAACAATGAAGCCTTGTTCCGATGTGTAAAGCTATTGGCATTTAAACGACTTGATGTCGGCAAATTCGCGCTAGTAAAATGATTTCAAGTTATCGTCTAATCTGTACGAAGCTTTCGGATAAACGATATTCGTCGGATAAACATCAAGGTCGAGTTAAATGTAAAAATCGAGACGCTACTCGCAATTAGCAACAGCGATAAAAATTTCAAACGAGTAAGTAACGTCCAGTCCCAGGCTGGGACTTTTGATTCACAAGAAATCGGCAGGACGCATCGTTTGTTAATTGTCGCGTGGATCTTTATGGGCAGATATCGCCGGTCGGGACAGGGCATCAGCTAACGCTCCCTACTCGCGGAAATTCTTTTTGGAATCGCATCTATCATTTTTACGAGAAAAAGGCAAAGTTTCCCCGGCGGCTTTATAACGCGACGTCACTAACGAGGCCCCGTTGCACTTTTTGTTGCAGCCAGCGATGCGCTCGGCCGAATCGATAAGGAGCCAACCTCGCCGGAATCCATACAAGGTGAGTTTGCACAGAGTTTCATCGTCCGTCTGTCGTCCGCCTTAACCTCTTCTTCCTCTCTCCTTCTCTCTTCCTCTCTGTTCCTCTGTCCAGCGTTCTCTCTTCCGTACGAACCACCTTCGTCCTCTCCCCCTCTCCCCGTCGTCCAATCGCGATACGATTAACGTACCGAAGGGTTTAACCTTCGCCGATGGCAGGAACATAAATTTCACAAACGAATAATACGACACGGCGGAGTCTGAGCGAAAGGCTCAAGTATCGGCATTATAAATCCGCGTCGTTATTTCTTAGCCAGCTTTTTGCCCGGCACGACCGATCGGGCCGGGGCAACATCGTTTAATTGCAACGATCAGGCTTTTACATTGTGCGCCCCTTGCGGGCCGATGCGCCCGTGTACTCACAGAAAATCCGCCTCTGGAAAGGAAACCGGGGACACCGCTGATTGAGAAATTTTCAGAGACGACAAAGAAATGGAACACGAGCCGCCGCCAGCGTCGCCGCGGACACGGACATTTTATTAATCGACCGACCGTGGAACGGGATCGGGCCCAATCGCGAAACCAGTCGTTCGAAAAGGATTCATCATCGTCCCGTGTCTCGTATCTTCTTCGTCGTTCCGCTTCGTGTCATATGGCCGATTGTGTATCATACGATATACATATTTTACATTTTATCTGTTAGCAAATTCCGAAGTAGGGTTTGTTAAATACATGTAATTCTAGTTCGACTTATCGATCGAAATATTCTCAAATGAAGAAAATACCTTAACTAAAGAGAAGAGTGTTATCGCATCCAAACTTTTGAATCGCGAGTTAAAGTAAGTCGAATTCGAAATAACCCAATTTGTATTTTACCAGAAATTGGCAGAAAATTAAATGATCGATCTATCGTACTATCTGAATTTGTAGTGCCTTATCGCATCTTGAAAGCTCCTTTCGTAAAATTCAAAATCGGTTGCCTTTCGCGGAAGAATCACGCAACGTCCAAAAATTCCATCGTCACTCTCATTTATAGAAATAGAACGTTGTCGACGCTGCATCCTAAGGCTAATCCTTTTCCACGTAAAATATGTCGTAAAACCAATTACACTCCCTCGTTCACCGCCTACCAGAGGCAGCACAGTGGTTTTGTCATTTGCCTGGAAGAATTCTTTCGTGGCCTTTTAACTTGGAGCATTATCCGACAACCTCGGCTCGTTCTTCGGTCCAAGGATTCTTGGTCCGGCTCGTAAAAAGGGTAGAATTCTCCCTAAAACGAACGAAGACGTCGTCGAAACCCTAAAGCTTGGCGAGATTTTTTCGGTAAAAATTCGACAACCGATTGAAAGAACGTTTTTCAAAAGTTTTATCGCCTCGTCGAAAGGCGATGGATGTTTGAAGCGGCGGCGTTTCTTCTCACGCGACAGCGGAAAGGGAATCGAGGATTCCAGCGGATAATTTAGGCTCGCGTGAGAGGCATCCCCCTGTTTCTGCGTGTGCATTTCTGCTGACCGTCGGTGTTCGCCTGGAAAACGCAGCTCGTCGGGGCTGTCACGTGTCGCGAAGTATAACACGTCGAGGATCGCGCCTTCAGAGAACGTAGCCGGTAATAACAGAGCCGGATCTTTAACGAGCCGGATCAGCGGCACGTTTCGCGCCCCTTTCGATGTACATTACGATCGGTCTGTCTTTGGGATGTCAAAGAAGCTCAGACATCGACGATGACGGTATCTTATTCGAACCGAGACGAATCTTGACCTGAAACAAACATACCCGTCAGAATGACTTGAGAAGATTTCAAAGTCTTTCAATTATCTTGAAATTGTTAAAAATATGCAAATGTTATACATAATAGGAGTCCGCGTTCGTCTAAGTGAATTCAGTCAGCAGATGGTAGCTTAATTTAGTTATTTCTCTCGTAGACAGTTCTTGAAATCAGAAAAACGTATACTTTAATTTTGCAAAATTTCATTGGTGTAAAAATCGAGTTAGTTCCTGCTGGTCTCGCCAACGCGCCCCTGTAGTTTGTAAAACTAAAGAAGAAAAATAGTAATATACAGATCGGGCAACTTCGTTCAGTTCCTCGGAACACTTCGCATCTCGTCGAAAGCGCTCGTCAGTCCCCACCGAAAAATAAGCATCAAGAACTGCGGATGTTAACAAAGCTTTGGAAGAGACGCAAAAAATCAACCCGGTTGTCCCGGACTCTCGGAAACGCTGAACCGGTCGTTACGAGCGAAAGAAGATTTCGAAGATCCTGCGAAGAGGGCCGCGAGTTCGGCACAATTCGTCCCCTGTATTTGTCTAGCGGAAGAAGACGAAAATCGAAAAAGAACGAGAACGATGGCGAAGCTAGCGGTCGTGAAACGAGAGAAGGAACGACGAGGGACACCATTGGCAACCTGTGTTTTACTTTATAGCATTTAGCCCCGATTGTTTGTCTTATTGCTATTAGCCTCCTTCAATTAGCAATTGTATCTTTAATGTCGATTCCGTGAATCGGTTTCGACCACGAAGAGCGGCCTCGGCAAACCTTGGTGGCTCGAGGGGAGCCAGTAGGAGGAAATCGGGCGTCGAAGAGGGGATTCGAGTAGCAAGGTGGGAGAAGGGAACCACGGTTAGAGGGGGCATGTCATTAGGAGTCATTAATATCACGGACCTCTGTAATTTGACACACTTCCGATCGCCTAGCGCCACCACCGCCGCTCGCTCCATTTTTCTTCCTTCTCTTCTCCTTAAACCTGTCTATACACTTCCATCCACCCTTCGCTCTCGTTCGCTCCATCGTTCGTTCGTCTTTTGTTTGATTTCCTTCTACCGTGATCTCTTGGTTGGTGATCTCTTCGTCTTGAAGACTCTGATAAAGATCTTCGTGGGACCACCAAAGGGGTGAATCGAGAAGAAAAGATGTACGAGAATTTTCTCGATCTCTATCTATGGAAAACGCGATTTATAGCAGCGGCATGGGACGATGAAGTTAGACGGGTAGAAGGCCACGTGACGTGCTTCTTAATTTTCAACCGCGAAGCTTTTTGCGTCGTGCAGGCGTGACGCAGCACGGGTACGTTAATTAACGTGTTCTCGTGTCCTCGGTAACGAATCGTCGATAATTAACTCGGTCGGGATCAAGCTGCGCAACAGTGGAAGATCTCTCTAATCGTGGACGACTACACGCAGATCGAAATTGCGAAATCGGCCTAAGAAAGAAACTGGAGGTATCATTCGGAATGCAAGTAGCTGCGATCGATATGATCCACGGATGCTAATCGAATCGCTAATCGTTTATTCCTGCGTCGTACAGGCACACCTGTTCGACCGATATGGTCAGACCAGAGATTCTTTTAACGCGGGCTTCATGGAGATCTTTCGAACGGAGAACGGCCAAGTCCCTCATCATACTTTGTAATGTAAACTCTCGACGATATTTTCTCCGTTCTTTGTCTTTTTTCCCCCTTCGACTGCCACTCCTGTCTTTTCTTCGTTCTCTCATCGTGGTTTTAATCAAGGAAACTACGTTACGTCGAGATTATTGAAAAAAATCGTCACTCTATGCTCCTGTTAGACTTGGACCTTGAGAAACGATCCAAAAGGCTGGAACGAGTGTTGGTACTATAATAGATGATTATCTGAAAGTTCTTTCGCTCTAGTCCCCAGGTCAAGGCGTAATTTATGGGCTGATTCTCTACCACCTGTCGATCGTTATCCGGTTGCTTCGATATCGCTATTGTTTCTCCCGGCATACACCTCCGCGGGTGTTTGTCCGGTTGGTTTATTCAATTACGAGCGGAGTAACAGCCTGATCTGAAACTATACATTCCCTGGATCGGTGTCGTTCAACCTACCCCTATTCTACGTCATATTGAATTCATGAATCCTATTTCCATAAAATCGTCATATTCTACGTTATGAAATACCGATCTCGTCGTTCGTAGACTTCGATCAAATTGTGATCGTCGCTTGGTCTTAGCCTTTTCAGGATCGAATCTTTCTTAAGCCGTGGGAAAGTATTGCTAATAGAACGACATGTTTTCAACTTTATATCAAAAATATTCTTCAAACATAAAAATCCTCTGTTGAAACGAGATGGCAATTGAGTCACGAAGAGTCGACGACTGTCGCACATGTGACATCGTTTAACTTGACGTTAAATCCTAACCTAACTCAACCTACCGTGTTCCTTCGAGATTCCTAAGAACCAGCATGCAAATGGTATCGAGCAAGCGACTCTATTCCCAGAATTGGAGCAACATGCGTGTTTTTCAATGCGTCGATTCCGCGGAATGGATAGATTCAGTATCGCGGCGGGATCGACGAGGATGGAAATGGTGATCGGTCGGCGGAACGGGGAAGATCGGTTTCGCTTGGAATGCAAACGAGTCGCAACGATATAGACTCGCACGACATAGTGGCGAGTGGTCCGGTCGCACGGCCGCGAGGACGATAATACGTCTTCCTGGTGATTTTGTTATTCAAATCGGCCGCCGAGGACCGCGGCGACCGTGGAAAACCGCTATTGAATGCCGAAACGGCTTCCCGACCCTCCCGCAAGAACCTTCCAT